TGTGTGTGTGTGTGTGTGTGTGTGTGTGTGTGTGTTTGTTCTCCGCCGACGAGGTTACCTGTGTGAGACGGGGTCCATGCAGACCGACGAAGAAGTTGCTATTTCCTTGTGTGTCTAAACCAATCCACACGGGTGAAAGCACCGACTTAGGGGCTCGTCACACAACCTTTTGAATGAAGGCATTTTCTGAAAGGTGTCACACTTCATTCGAAATGCTGCTCATCGAAAGGAACCTCCGCCTTCCAAACACCAAGGCCTTTCGATATGCACATGAAGGGCTCACTCCAGAGTGTGAATATTTGCATAGAACATGAAAGATATACACCACCATAATTTTTGTCTTTTGTGCATGTCCAAAGTAGTGGAGCTAGGCCCTGTTAATCGCCCCCTTTTCTTCTTTTTTGTTTTTTGCCAATAGGCCGTTTCGAATGGGACTTTTCGCAAGACCACTCTTGGGCTTTTTAAGAAATGTTCGTGACAGGCGGTAAAATCGTACTCCTTCGAAACGACCTTCGACGCGGAACTATCTGACACCTTTAAAAACTTTTCGATGACATTTGTTTCGAAAGCCTGTGTGGCAAAGATGCTGCGTCGATTTTGCACATTTCGAGAGGTTGTGTGACAAACTCCTTGTTCTTTTTATACGAACCCATTCACTGTAGCAACAACACAATATTAACATTTTTTAAGGCAGGGGATGATATTGCGTCGTTGCTATAGTGCTTTGAGCCAAAAAACCGGGAAAAAAGAACAAAAAAAACGACGGATGGGATTAATTTTCTCAATGTATTTGTAAGCTGTATCTATATTCAACCATATTTCAACACTTGGGAACATGAGTCATGTAATGTGCATGAATGTTTTTATACCTACATTCACCTATCGTACGTACATGTCATCTTTAAGCACCGAGCCCAGTACCTCCACGGTAGTGTGGGGATTTCCGGAATAGGAAAAGCGGATGAATGTGAAAACGTACGACCATCCTCCTAGCACAGACCTCAGGAAACGTTGTGTCGCATCAGGTCTTGGCGAAACGCCCGATGGTGGTGTTGCTCTTCGTTAAAGGAATGACCTGCTTCACCGTTTCGGTTCGTCTTTTTCAGCGAGAGGTGGCTTGCTTCTTATTCTTGAACACATCATCATCATCTACTACCATCATCTCTCTCTCTCTCTCTCTCTCTCTCTCTGTTTTTGTTCTCCGCCGACGAGGTCACTTGTGTGACACGGGGTCCATGCAGACCGACGAAGACGTTGCTATTTCCTTGTGCGTCTAAACCAATCCGGGCGTGTGAAAAACACTGACTTAGGGGCTCGCCACAAGGCCTTTCGAATGAAGGCATTTTCTGAAAGGTGTCACACTTCATTCGAAAGATTGTTCATCGAAAGAAACCCCCCTTTCGAAATACTAAGGTATTTCGATATGCACATAATGACCTCGCTCCATAGTGTGAATATTTGCATAGAACATGAAAAAATATACACCACTTTGTATTTCGTCTTTTGTGCGTCTCCAGAGTAGTGGAGCTAGACCCTTCTAATCACCTCTTTTTCTTTTTTTTGTTCTTTGCCAATAGGCCGTTTCGAGTGGGACTTTTCTCAAGACCACTCTTGTTTTTTTTAAGAAATGCTCGTGACAGGCGGGATAATCGTCCTCCTTTGAAATGATTTTTGACGCAGAACTATCTGACACCTGTCACAAATTTTCGATGACAATCGTTTCGAAAGTCTGTGTGGCGAACATGCTTCGTCGATTTGCACGTTTCAAGAGGTTGTGTGAAGAGCCCCTTATTCTTTTTATACGAACCCATTCACGAAAGCAACACGCAATATTAACGTTTTTATAGGCAAGGCCCTTAGGGGTGATATTGCGTCGTTGCTATAGTGTTTTCAGCCTTCAAAACGGAAAAAAAAAAAAAAAAAAAAAATGACAGATGACATTAATTTCCTCAATGTATCTGTAAGTTGTGTCTATATTCAGCCACATTTCAGCACTTTTGAACATGGGTCGTGTAATGTGCATGAACGTTTTTCTACCCACATTCACCTATCGTATGTTGTTAGGACCGGTGGGTCCCGAAACAAGTCCTGACCCTTGAGAGGTGGTATATGGCACGATTGTGCACAATAGAGAAATAAGAGGAAAAATAAATAGGAAGGATGGAAGGCTAAGGCGATGTCGATGCCTAGGGGCCTAGAGTACGCCCTGGGTCGCTGGAACCAGTGGACCAAGAAGAAATTAGTAGAATAGTACGCGACAAAGAGCCACAAAAAAATAATAAAGGCGACCATTCCTCCCGAAAGAAGAAGGACCGCATAAAAAAATAATGGCCTCGACTGCGAGCCGCAGGAAGAAAGAAGTCAAGGAGGTAAAAAAAAAAGTGTTCGGGCACCGACACGTGAGAACGGAGCACGTGGCCAAGGGGGCCACCGAAGTGCAACATAAGAAAGGCCAAAGGGCCATGAGCCAAGTAAAGAGTTGTGACCGGAAAAATCGGCACACGTGTGGGACATAAAAAAAAATTAGAAATGGGGCAGCCATGGGGAGGAAAATGCCGAGAGAAACTGGGACACCCCAAGAAAAAGTGTCGGGGACCACAGGAAACTAAGTAAAAATAATGACATTTTGGGGCCAAGTACCGGTAGGACCACCGGCGGGACAAGTGTTGGGGACTAGCGTGGGACAAGTGTCGGAGACTAGCGCGGGACAAGTGGCGGGGACTTGTGATGTCCCAAGACAAAGTTATGCAGGGTCATAAGAGAACGATGCCCAAAGCAAGACGTGCCGTCAAGATCAAGATCTAGACGACCAAAAATATTAGCACCATAGGTGCTAGTGCAAGCACTAGTGGAGGCAAACGGGAGGGCCGAGGTTCCACCGCATGCCTTAAATTGAAACAAAAAGAAACGGGCAACTCCCAAGTGCATCTGGGCTCAATATTGACTCCGGATGTTTTTGGAACATGCGTTTCTTCTCCACCATGTAATCCGTTATATCTCGGCTGCATGAGGTCTTGATTTTTCTTGATTCTCTCTGCAAAATTAAGAGATAATCAAGATCTTTTGCAACCGCCATATCCCAGAATGTATCTGGTCACGGATGTACCTCCCCAAGTGACCGTTTTTTACCGTTAAGACCTTTTTTTTTTTTTTTTTTTTTTTCCTTTTCTTTTCTTTTCTTTTGCCTCCATTTTTGGACCGTAGGGACCTGCCAGTCCCTACTTTTGCCAGTTCCTACTGAYGGCCAACTCACTCACTCCCTCTCACCCCTTTTGTCTTATTCTCCCACTTTTTTTTTTTTTTTTCCTTTCTTTTTCTAGCATGTCAAGTGTCAACTAACCGTTAAGGTTTTTTTGTAGGCCCTTCCTATTGGTTTTAGCCCTTCTTATGCCCATGGTGCAGTTCGTTATTTCTCAGACTGCAATTGAGGCTTCCCCATATCCATGAGAATCTCTTTTGCCTCTCTCCCTTTCAAACTGTAGCCCCTGTTGCTCTTATTTTCTCCCGGGAACCTATTTTTCACATGGAGCCTCTCTAGGCTCCATTTTCTTTAAGGTAGCTAATCCGAGATATATTGGATTGCTACCATGCTTCTTCCCTTGCTTTTGTTTGTCCCCAAGAAGGAAGGAGAGTTGCGCATGGGTATAGACTATAAGGGTCTGAATGCTATCACAGTCAAGAATGCTGAACCACTGCCCATGATAGACGATCTCTTAGACCGGGTGCAGGGTTGCAAGTATTTCTCAAAGATAGATTTGAAGTCCGGTTATCATCAGATAGAAGTCCACCCTGATGACCAGTACAAGACTGCGTTCCGGACTAGATATGGGCATTATCAGTTCATAGTGATGCCCTTTGGACTGACCAATGCGCCAGTGACATTTCAACGATGTATAAATGATCTGTTTAGGCCTTGGTTAGATAGGTTCGTCGTAGTATATTTAGACGACATCCTAGTCTTCAGTAGGACCCTCCAAGAGCACCAGGGTCATTTGAGGCAGGTCTTGGAGAAGCTGAGAGAAGCTAACTTCAAGATCAATGCGAAGAAGTGCAAGTGGGCCAAGACGCAAGTCTTGTACTTGGGCCACGTGTTAGACGGAGATGGCATTAAGCCAGAGGACAACAAGATCGCGACAATTAGAGACTGGTTGACGCCCCACACATTGACAAAGTTGCGGTCGTTTCTGGGCTTAGCTAATTACTACAGGAAGTTCGTGAGAAACTTCTCTACTATTGTCGCTCCCTTGCGCAGGTTGCTCAAGAAAGAGGCAATCTGGCAATCGGATAAAGACTGTACCCCCGCGTTGAAGAAGTTGAAGCGCGCGTTAATAGAGTACCCTGTCTTCAAGGTAGCAGATCCGTCTTTCCCATTTGTCGTCACCACGGACGCCAGTCAGTATGGTATAGGTGCCGTGTTACAGCAGGACGACAACAATGGCTACAGACCCGTAGAGTTCATGTCAGCGAGGATGCCCTCAGAGAAGGTAGCTACCTCGACGTACGAGAGAGAACTGTACGCTCGCAGGCATGCCTTAGAACACTGGAAGCATTACCTGCTTGGGAGGCACTTTAAAGTGTATTCAGACCACAAGACGCTTAGATGGTTAAAGACACAGGCCAAAATGACACCTAAGTTGACTAGGTGGGCCGCTGAGATAGACCAATATGACCTCGAGCTCAAGCCAGTTAAGGGCAAATACAATGTAGTTGCGGATGCTCTAAGTAGGAGGTCATACTACTTTGGAGCCATAGTTCACTCTCTGGACATAGGGAGTGACCTGCAGGAGAAAGTTAGACAGGCACATGCGCAGGACCCTATCTATAGTGACCTCCTCAAGAGAGTTAGGGAGGCCCCAGAGACTGAGCCAAATTACTACACTAAAGAGGGTTTACTATTTGAGAAGACTAACGTAGTAGACCGCCTATGCGTTCCCAATAGTGAAGAGATCCGCAGTTTGATCCTCGGGGAATGCCATGATACAGAGGGACACTTCAGTTGGCAAAAGACTTTAGCCAATCTGATGCACGCGTACACATGGCCAGGAATGAAAAACGACTGCATAGAGTATGTCTGCAGTTGCAAAGTCTGTCAAAGGAACAAGACCACTACGCGTGCCCCTCTAGGTCTTCTCAGACCCTTGCCTATTCCAGACCAGAATGGAGATTCAGTCTCCATTGACTTCATGGATGCCGGTGTCAAGAGTAGACAAGGCAAGAGCCAAGTCATGGTCGTAGTTGATAGATTTAGCAAGTATGCTATTTTTGTTCCTTTGCCTGCAGAGGCACATACAAAGTTAGTAATACAGACGCTTTTCGATTTCTGGGTTAGTGAGCATGGAATCCCGTTGTCCATAATTAGCGATAGAGATAGTCGCTTCACCAGCCAGAACTGGTAGGAACTCATGAGAGTTTATGGGTCAAAGTTGTTGATGTCGTCTGGCCGCCATCCAGAGACAAACGGTCAGACCGAGCAGATGAACAAGATCCTGCAGCAAGTTCTGCGCATGTACATCAGACCCGATCAGATCAACTGGGACGAGATGTTACCCAAGGTAGCCAGTGCGTACAATAACAGCGTGCACTTGTCCACCTGTCGCACTCCCAATGAGCTGCACAAGTCCTTTAGGCCGCGCAGACCGTTTGAAGGGCTTAACCGGGATCAGATTCATAGGCTACCGCCCGGAACCAGGGAGTTCGCAATACAGCATGAGAAAGAAATAGCCACTGTTATTGAAAACCTCAGGAAGGTCCAGCACCGAATGATAGAGCAGGCCAATAAGCACCGTCGCCCATCACAGTTTCAGGTAGGCGACCTGGTCTGGGTCAAGTCCAAAGAGTTTGCACCTGAGGAGAACATCTCGCAGAAGTTACTGCCCGCGTATAGAGGACCGTGGCCAGTCCTAGAAGTTAAAGGCGGAGAGGATGGGCCGTCCTATACTATAGAGATCCCAACACACCTCCACACCTACCCTGTTTTTCACGCATCAAAGTTACTGCCGTGTCACAAGCCCGCAGTTTCCTTCTAGACGGTCCATGATCCCTCTAGACATGGACGGAAGATATGACATTGACGGCGTTGTAGGTGAAGATGTGTTCAGAACAGGAGGTAGAGGTCGTCCACAGAAGCAGTACAAGGTCCGGTTTGCATATCAGGAACCGGAGGATGACCGCTGGTTCACGAGATCAGAACTTCTAGAGACAGCTCCCGATATAGGTAGAGCCTACGAGAGAGATCAAAGAGGTAAAGGTCCTGCCTTGGAGTGAGTTATTCTCGGAGGACCTCGAATTTAGGCCGGCGGGAGTGAAACGGTATTCACCAGTTCGCAGTAGCTGATGCAAATCTCAGGGCTCGATCCCTAGTCCCCACCTCACCTGTGTACAGTACCTGTGTCGACCCGTAGAGTTGAACCCGCGACCTGTGTATTTGTAACAGTTGACAGGTTGTCGTAGGGTCCCTAGGTAGCATGGGTTCGATCTGTAGACCTGTCRGATATGAGTCCCAGTCAGGTCTAGAGGTCGTAGCTGTAGCCTTCTCGAAGAGTCAGGGTCGTAGCTGCTACAGTCCAGAAGGGTCAAAGTCGTAGCTGCTACAGTAC